CCATATTGGATTCAAAAATTACTCGACAATTCGTCCTAATTATGACATTTATTTTCACAATTACTAAGGTGTCTACAGTAAATTCTTATGAAAAGTTTATATTATGACTCGACATATTCCTAACTGTAGTTCCACACGTCGTCTCAACTTAAAATGGTTTTGGCTAAGTTCATTATTTTTAAATTGTTATATTCCTGGCCTGTACATGCGTTACATTATATCTCTGTGCCTTTTAAATTTAAAAAATCATTCAACCACCCTTAACTTTTTCACTAAACCCATCATATTCGTTATCGCTATACGTATTTGGGTCTATGAATTGGTATATCATATTAGTTGCCTAAAAAACGAACTTAGTTCAGATAATAAAGTCACCAAATCTGGGTACTATTATACTGCACTAGCATAATAACTAAACTGTTAGGTAAGTGTCGGTCAAACTAACACATAAAATCAAAACTTCGGAGCCTATATTTAGAATGATCGCTATATAGACGAGTATTTTTGAATTACAATTTATAATATAATCAAGCAGCTCGGATTCGTTAACGCTACAGACTGCTATTTCAGAATCATCCAAGACAACTATACCTATTTCCCACTAGCTAATCCTCAATCAACACCATGAATAGTTAGACATAATGGTTTCAGGATATCGTCATAATTCATTTTCATGACTTGATAATTGCGTAATATGATTGATGAGGTTGATGAAACTGTTAACGAAATCAGTCAACAAATTGACTTATAGTTGTCATCAAATAGTGTTGTTTTCTCGTTATCCTTATCCATCACAGGTGATTACAGTATGCTTCCCTATCGGTTGCTCATTCAGAAAATACCTTTAAGCCTTGTCAGTTTGATTTGAGGTTTTGCGACACAATCATGCATACAGTTCATCAGTTCAGGCAATCGAGCAAATATCCCAGGAACTGAAAACATTGTCGAATTTACCCCAACACATGATTTCGAATTCCAAATATAGTATATTCGTTCGTGCTTAACTAGCACTTCTTGATCCAATGGCGTTATTTCTGGGATTCTTAGATCGTACTATAGTTCAAATACCCCTAATTATAATATTAGCGTCGCGATGTAGCCTGTGATGGATTTGTTGGACATACATCTAGGTTTCGATGCTTTTGAGGATTACTGTGAAAGGTTCGAGATTTGGGCCATGACGAAGGAGGATATTGAGGATGTTGATATTGTGGCAAATTTTCTCACAATTATCGGAAAAAAAGCATACAGCTTAATAAAAACTCTGGCTTTACAAGAAAAGCCCATTTCACTTCTTTATGCAACTCTAAAGGAACTGTAGTGGCATTGGACCATAACCACACAATCTTCAAAGCTGAACACAAGACTACTCAGAAAATAGATATTCAATATTTAACACGGAGAAATACTTAACAATGGAGAAGGCGCGAACAATGAATGGAATGAACTGGAGTTGATCGGATGGCATGACTTGGCTATGCAGGCGTGGTCTCTGCTGAATGTTACCTTATATCTTCTATTCATATTAAATATATTGTTCTTTCTCTAGCCTAACCTTGTTCTACATAATGTATTGGTAATTGATACGATACAGTGAGTTGGTGTAGTCGATGGTGTGACGTCCACGTAAGATCTTATAGATTAGGCAGTTATATTATGGCGAATCTACAAATTTAGGATTAGGTCTATTATTAGAGCAGTACTAATATCATAGTAGACCATAATTCTACAGAACTACTGCTAGACTGTGTTAAGTATACAAATTTCGAATGCGGTGAAGAAGGGAAATTTCATAAAAGTATTCATCATGACGTGAAAAATTTCGCCACATTACTACGTTATCTCGTTCCAATGAGTGCTCAACGTTATGCTGATGACTCATTGAGAATATGCGATAAAATTCACAAAAGTGAGATCAAGTTTGATAAATGTTTATCCTGTGGGAAATTTCACTCTCGTAATTCATGTGTATCTCATAATGATAAATGTTACAAATGTGGTGAGATTGGACACATTCAGTCAGTTCATTCCGCTGCAACTAATGCTAAAATTTGTACTTGTGATCCTATTAAGTTAGTTGCTTCTAACTACCATTCATTATTATCCACGACTTCGAAAAGCGGTACAGAATCATGTACCAAACCAGAGTTAAGAGGGACTCAGAATCATTGTGAGACAACAGTTTCTAATCAATTAAATTATCAGATTTCTAATTTTATTGTACCAAATATGGCCTTTCCCAATGATTCACATATTTCTGACGAAATTCCTTGCAAATCTGAGGAAAATATATTGAGTGAACCTAATCATGATCAAAAGCCTGATGAAGTTTTGATAGATGCTGATTTTTCTAATCATCTTTTACTCTGCAATGACATTCTTAATAAATTCGAGGAAACTATTTCAGAAGAGACAAAGCTTGATGTCATCAATTATCATTTGTACTCATAATGCATTCGTTTCTTGTGGGAAACTTGATCAGTGCGAAGAACAAGTACTAAATGAGCTCGATTTTGATTACAATTCGGATGATTTCATATCAACTGCTGTTTATCGTTTTCACAAAAACACTTCTAATGTTTACTCTAACCAATGTGAGAAATATGTTTTAAATGAAACCACATCATTCATAACTTGGGGATTTGAAAATTCAACATTATTTCGTGGGGGAAGGTAGTCTAAAAGTCTATGGTTCAAATAAAAGGTGGCAGTGGTTTCAGCGCACAACTAACATAGTGATTGTACACAATCCCAGGACGAAGGTGAGTCTGTTTTGATTTCGGTTGTTAATTCCAACACTAATCAACACATTCTAGATAATACATATTTTTTTATCCAATACACTGTCGGACAGATACAAGATGAACTTAAGAAGACGTACAATCGATTACAGACACTTGGATTTCAAATATAGTACATTCGTTAGTGCTTATCTAGCACTTCTTGATCCAATGGCGTTATTTCTGGGATTCTTAGATCGTGCTGTAGCTCAAATACTCCTAATTATCATATCAACTCCTATATAATCTACACTTAGATTTTCATTTTCAGCCTATAAAGCGATAAAACAGATCTTTTAGGGCTATTACGTCTACTTTCTGATTAGTTGCTGACGCCTTTTTGATTTATATTTCAGCTCATCAATACCCGGACGTTTCTTATTATTCTCGGTAACCTCCGGAGTGAGATAATCTAGTGGAAGAGTGGTGTAGTGGTATCAGTCCTAACCACACGATACTCGACGGTGAACACAAGATGACTGAGAAGAGTCACACTCAGCATTTAACACAAATAGAAAATTAGTAATTGTGAACACGGGAGCAATCAATCGAAATGGGATGACTCGGCCTTGCAAGTGTGGTCACTACGTAAAACCTAATGCATTTTGTATTGAATGTATTACTTTCTGCCCGGCACAAATGTGTCATCAACGGTGATAGATGTCATATTGGTGATTGTCACGACAAAACGAATTGTAAAAGGGAATCGCGTGACTTCCACGTAGGATCTTGTAGATAAGGTGGCCACATCATGACGAATCTACAATTTTAGGATTAGGTCTATTATTATGGTAGCAAATATGAGCGTAGAAAAACTAACTTCAACGAATCAGGAGGTTCTGTGACGTATCAGACATAATCATAAGGAATGGATCTCTATAGAAACCTTAGACAAGATTCGAGAAAGGAAGAACGAAACGGCAATTAACAACAGCTGAACAAGAGCAGAGAAAGTCAAGGAACAAACTGTATACACAGAACCAATTGAAGAGGAGCATTAGACCCGACAAGTAGAAATATGTGAAAGACCTAGCAACAACAGCGGAAAAAGCTGGAAAAGAAGGAAGTATGAGACAGCTATATGACACGACGAAGAAACTGGCAAGGAAGTATAGTAAGCCAGAGAGACCAGTCGAAGACAAGTAAGGCAAGACAATTACTAAGACTCAAGGAAAGAGGAGCAGACGGGTAGAGCACTTTGAGGAACTCTTGAATAGACCAGCCTCACTGCACCCAACAGGTATTGGAGAGGCATCTACAGATCTTCTTATGGACGTCACTCCACCAGCAAAGGAAGAAATCGGGATGACCATCAGATGAATAAAGAGCGAGAAAGCAGCAGAACCTGACAACATACCAGCTGAAGCACTAAAGTCAGACATAGAAGTAACTGCAAGCATGTTTCACGTTCTACTCGGGAAGATTTGGAAGGAAGAACAAGTGCCGATGGACTGGAAAGAAAGACCCCTCATCAAGATTTCAAAGAAATGAAATCTGAGCAAATGTGGAAAATGAAGAGGCAATGGCCGAAGAATTCGATTGTGGACCTTTTGTTTGTTTAGCAATTTTAATCTGAGAAAGTGGTACTAGTTATGTAGTTCTAGTTACTCGTTCTGGTACTTACGGCTATGATCAGATCTCTCACTGGACTACCAAGACATGAACTTAAACCTGGGGTAAAGTATGTATGTTTGATTACCTGTAAGTTTGTAAGATTAAACTCAAAGCTGAAATAACCTATTTGTGAGTATATAGCCGAACGAACGGATTTTGAATGACTTGTAGCACTTGTATCGGTAAGTAAATCTGTGGGACAGGCATTTCTATAAGTCTTCGGAACTTTTGCTGACCTCGTTAGTTTTACTGGACATGACCTCGCTGAATGCACTAGGTCACGTATGCGTTCCAGATCATAAATGAGTACGCCGTACTACACACTACTCACAACTACTAGCCAGCTTACATCAAACGCCTCTCTAAATATAGAATGCCTTAAAAATACATCTTTGAACTCATCCATCCCTTACTTCTGTTCTGATTGGGTTTCGAATCATTCAGTTATATAGTTATCACAGACGAAAGGGTTGGCTACCCTGAATATATGTGGCATCTTTATATCTAATGATGCTAGGACAAATTTTTAAGTAGATAGAGTTTTCTTGCTTTTTCGGCCTAGCTATATGCCAAGAGATCATTCCATCAGACAACACTTTGAAGCATCAAGTATTTGAGGAACGGATTCGAATGTGTCGTAACAGTGACACGGTAAGGTAAGAACCATCTTCGATTTGGAATTATTGATCAATTGCTTGGATCAATACCTTTAATTGTCCATATGCAGTTAGTTGAAGGCTAATTGTGCCAAGGATTTACTCACATATTATCGGGGTATTTACTCTAGCGGCGATTCCAACCAACTGATGCAGTTATGTATGACAAAGTCAGTAGTGATTTGTTTACTCTAAAATGACAGAAACGGCCAATCAGAACTTGGAGATTTTTAATCTAGTTAGGTTTCTTTGGATGCTTTTTCACTCGATTTTAATGTACTTTTAAGTGTTCTGTTTAATCTATTTATTATGACATTTTCGCTTGTAAACGTAGATCCATCTATAAATCCCCCTTAGTTGTGTTCATCGATAGTTTGCACTAGAGTCTAGACCTTAATTTTGTGCAGTAAATGACGTGTTAGATGTCTACAAATAATACATTCCGTTACCAAATCAGAGTATCTTCTCTAAAGTGGATTGGAAGTAAGTAGACAAAGTCGAGTGGTATTTTCCACTCGGGGCCCATTTTCGGACATCAGTTTGGCTAAGTACTGACTGGTCATTAAGAACTGAAAATACCTGTTGAGAAGTGACATACAGTGCACGGTTTACATCGAATATCTCGTTCAATTTGTATATTTTTCAACCTATTTTAGGACAGTTCCATAAGACACCGAAAACATCCTACACTTTGATTTTATTGGTAAGCGTTCAGAACAAAGTAGCTAGTGAACTTGGGTAATATAATCCCGATTTCATGTTGAAATTGTGTATTCTTAGGCATTCATTCAGTTACATTTTGTTGTTAATTCTCTCTTTACTTGACTAAGGTGTCCATTTCGGAAACTTTTTTTGACTTGATAGAATTATAAAGGCACGTAATGCCAACCTCTGATATACATAATAAATATCGAGAAGTTAAAGAAAACTTTGAAAATTACTTTAATACATTCGTCAGTCTGTTACATCATGACCATCCAAAAAGTCTTCAATTGGCAGAACAACATTTCCAAAATGTAAGTGTTTATTTTTTACTTATTCTTTCATCAGTACATTAAGCTTTACCAAGATCTTCGCTCTCACAGGTTATCTTGCTAGGATCTTTTCCATTATTTAGGCAACAGAATGAACAACCTTGACTCATTCTAATTCGTTCTAATTATGTCACTAAATATATCGTAAGTTATCTTGTTTATTTACATTAGGTTACTGAAAGATCAAAAAGTACCGATTATATGTGCCACTGTTCGAGATATTTGTGTGAAATATTGAGACACTTTAGACAATGTACATAGGAAGCGATACGTAAGATATCACGTCGAACAATGAGTAGTAATTTGGTTTCGTTTAATGTTCCTTTGCGAGTCTTGAGGATAAAAATATTTTTTAAGAGTCAGACATCACATTATTTGTCGTCATATCATTGCAAAAATAAATTTTGATGTTGATATTTACGTTTAAAGTAGACTTCGTAGTATACATGGATTGTGTATATGAGATTTCTCATAAGCTGAACGGCTTGTTCTTAATAAAAATGTTGGTCAGTTAACTCACTTCAGGTATGAGTACAGCAAAAGGGCTACTTAAATTACGTCTAAATAATATGCGCTGCTTACTAGTGTCTTTACTCCATACTATCAGTAAAGAATATCTTACATTGACCAAAAACGTTTTTTATGTCTTATGTATAGAGTTTTTTTGTAAGAAGATATCGACAAATCTAGTTAGAACATCAGTCAATCATCTACGACGTAGGGTCAGGCACATATACATCGGTCCAAGTTTTCATAACTCATTATCACACCAAGATGGACACCAAATCTATAGGAGCAGTTACCTCAATGGTAGTAATATATAAAAACAAAGATATGATACAGGGAGAAAGAATTATTTCGTAGAAAATTATTTTAATCTCACGATTTAAGGGAAGACAAGGAATGCATACACTTACGCCATTCTGGTCGATTCTGAACCATTTCACTCAGAATCTCCAACAAATGGTTACGATAGTCGCGCGGACCCCAACCAATTAGACTTCATCTACTAGCATGGCTTAGACTGTAAGTTAGTAACTTTATGGAGTGATGCTGCGTTTTAGTTTGACCGCCCCTAACTTCCATCATTGTCGGACGCCGATAAGCATGCCTGTGTTCTAAAACCTGACGAATGGTGAATATGTGATCAATGCAGCCACGACCAGGTCTGAATCCAGCCTTATTTTCTCGTGTTTGCAGTTCACGAGTCTTTGTTAGACGTCCGATAATTATTGAGGCTAATATTTTAGATGCCATTTTAGTCAAACTAATTCCTCTATGGTTATCACAGGATGATTTAGACCCCTTATATATTGGGACGATCTGTGATTGCGACCAGTCAGATGGGATTGCGTCCGGTCCCCAGATTTTAGTTAAAATATTAATCAACCTAATCGCTGAAACTTGACCACCATCCTTGAAAACCTCTAGAATTAACCCATTTGGACCATCTTATATCCCTCGTTTCAGATTAGTTATAGCTTTTTGAACTTCAATTAGAGTCGGGGGACATAATTCAATGTTCCATTCAGACTGACTGGGAACGGTGGGTAGTTGTAGAGTAGCTGAAGGCCAGCTGAACTGTTACTTAAAGTGTTCCGCCCATGATTCTAAACGTCTAGGCGGAGAGCAGATAAGAGTGTCGTCTTTCTTGATGATTGTCTCACACTTGGCTTTTTAATTCCGGTTTCTTTTACTTACTTACACCTGTTACTCCTCGTGAAGGAGCATAGGTCGCTCACCAGCATTCTCCATCCAACCCTGTCCTGGGCAATCCTTTCCAGCTCCTTCCAGTTGTAATTCACCCTTTTCATATCTGCTTCTATTATCCGACATAATGTGTTCTTTGGCCTTCCTCTTTTCCGCTTCCCTTCAGGATTCCAAGTTAGAGCTTGTCTCGTGATGCAGTTTGACGATTTGCGTAATGTATGTCCTATCCATTTCCATCGTCTTTTCCTAATTTCCTCTTCAGCTGGAAGTTGGTTTGTTCTCTCCCACAGAAGGCTATTGCTGATGGTATCCGGCCAATGGATGTTGAGTATCTTGCGTAGACAGCTATTTATAAATACTTGTACTTTCTTGATTGTGGTTGTTGTAGTTCTCCAAGTTTCAGCTCCATACAGTAGAATTGCCTTGACGTTCGTATTGAAGATTCTCACTTTGATATTGGTTGAAAGTTGTTTTGAGTTCCATATGTTCTTCAATTGTAGGAATGCGGCCCTTGCTTTGCCAATCCTCGCCTTTACGTCTGCATCTGAACCTCCTTGTCTATCGACGATGCTTTCCAGATATGTGAAGGATTCTACATCTTCCAGAGTTTCACCATCAAGGGTGATTGGATTGCTGTTCTCCGCTTTGAATTTGAGGACCTTGGTTTTCCCTTTGTGTATACTGAGGCCTACTGATGCAGAGACTGCTGCTACACTGGCTGTTTTCATCTGCATCTGTTCGTGTGTACGTGATAGGAGGGCTAGGTCATCTGCGAAGTCCAGATCGTCTAATTGGTTCTGAGCTGTCCATTGTATTCCGTGTTTTCCTTCAGATGTCGAGGTTTTCATAATCCAGTCGACCACCAGAAGAAAGAGGAAGGGAGAGAGTAAACAGCCTTGTCTGACTCCGGTCCTTACTTGGAATGCATCTGTCCCGGTTTCTTTTACTAGTCCGGAAAGCTGTTTTGTCTTAGCTACAGCCTTTTCCTTTTCCATCTCTTCTACTTTTGTGGCTCGCCACTGCTCACGGTCGTTCCGTAGACTTTTGGTTAACCTAGATCTGACTTGTTTTCGCTCTTCATTTTGTTCAGAGCCTGATGGGATACGTTTACGATAATCAATCAGTACAGTAGACTTAATAGAAACCCACTGATTTTTTGTAACCATTTGGTTCAAATCAATAATAAATGTCGCTACTGTTTCCACAGATATTCGTATATCTTTCCAAGAAACATCTGGGTCAGCCTCGTTTTCAAAATCGTCGAAGTGTGGTTCCAGTTGTTCCTGAAATATACCTTTCGCTTTATCGTCGCCGATTTTAACTCTAATGGGTTTAAATGTCTTTTTTACGTCCAGTGCGGCGCAAGCAAATGCGTGCTCGTATTAGAGCATGATCAGAGTCCAATCATGTATTCCAGAACGAACAGCAGTCTTCTATCGAGCCTCTCCATTGGTGAACGATGGCAATATGGTCTATTTGAGTCCATTGTTGGTTTGGTGCAGGGGGTCGCCATGTTAGGCGATGTCTCATGCTTTAAATTATTGTTTGTTAAAAATAAACGACTGTCTGAACACAGTTGTAGCAGTCATCATTATTTGTTCGCTTAGTCAGAATAAAAAAATATCTACCTAAATGTCTTTCTGTTTGGTTTAAACTGCCTAGTTGGGCATTAAGGTCGCCTGTTACGAGTACTATGTCCGAGTATTTAGCTTTTTGTAAGATTCATCTTTCGTTTCACCCAGGTTGCAGTCAGTGGGAGCGTAGGCAGAAATGATGAAAAGATAACAACGTGTTTCTCTATCCTTCCGAGTTCTTACAGAACCTTTTAACCGAACAACACATAGGTATCTGTTAACAGGGACAGTATTTCGCACACTCGAGTCGTTGGTCGAGGTAGGAGAAATAATAAGGATTGACAAGGAAAATCGGTTATGAATATAGTGGTCTTGAGTGCTGTTAGAGGTATGAGGGTGTTTATCAACTCCCGGTTACTCACACCGTAGAAGGGTTATTCTAGAGGTACCTAACCGTAGCTGCTACCTTGACGTGGTGGTCGGGTTCGCCTATCGTGATGACCAAGCCGAGCTATATTGGCTGGAACATATGTTCCTGTAGGTTCTACCATGCCAGGCAGGTCGGTTGGAGAACGGTAAGACTAAAAGCAGCAACTCAAGGTCTGAGGGCGAAGTCGTACTGCTGACTGTAGAGGGATGTGACAGCAGTAAGGTGTTTCCCTCGGACAAACAACATCTGCAGCGATGCTTCCTACTCACAAGAAAGGAAGGGGTTAGAAAAGGTCGACCCTTAGAATGTCACGCCTCACATTACCTCGCAGATTTCGGTTTCCGGCTGTAAGGCCCTTTGGAGAACGGAGCTAACACGTCAAAAACCTCCCACAAAAAGGCCGTGCGCGACCGGCCTCAAGCAGTTGTCCCTTGGACTCTGCGGTCACGCTTCCGGGTCGTTAAGGCCAACACTAATCCGACTTCTATTTCAGGTTCCTCAAGAAATACCCTCCCACGGTGTGGGCACCCGGGAAGTGATATCAGCCATCATACCCGTAACAGCATACGAGACCTAGTTGGCCACATTCAAATCCTTCCTACACCTAATAAATCTCTTATCTCCACGACTAACCGTTCTCACGTTACTTTATCACCTCGCACCGCTAGGGCAAACGATTCAATTACGCGGAACGTTATTCCTGGTCTCCTGAAATCACTCTCTAAACTACATATAGGAGCATTCAACGTCCGAACCCTGTGCCAAGTAGGACAACAGGCTTCCTTAGCTAGGATAGCGAATGCAATCACTGATTGTATAAAAAAGCACAAAAGTCTTCTTGTGACAATCACAGAGGGGTCAGTTTGATTAATATAATGTCTAAAATATTAGCTTCAATAATTCTTCGACGCCTAACTGAAGCTTGTGAAGAGCAGATTAGAGAAAATCAGGCTGGTTTTCAACCTGGACGTGATTGTATAGACCAGGAATCAGTTTGACTAATAGACACACATTCAGACGTTCCAAATTAGTAGCATGTCTCGAACTTAAGGCAGCATTTGAATCTGTTGATCGTGAGGCTCTGTGGCAGTGTTTGTCACTGAAAGGAGTATTAAAGGCGTACATTATCCTTATAAAGGCTCTCTACTCGAACACAACTGGTCGAGTGAGAGCTTATGGCGAACTTTCATAAGAATTGATTACCTCAAGTGGTGTTCGTCAGGGCTGCTCACTCTCTCCATTCTTGTTTAACTTCGTCATTGACGTGCTTTTAGAGATAACACTTTCCTCATCTAAATTTCCACGGGTTGAACTTTTACCGGGAGATTCACTTGTTGACTTAGAATATACCAATGGCAGTTCTATTTGGTGAAGACGCTGACAAAATGCAGTCTTCTGAACACCAAACAAGAAACAATGCAAGCATGTTCGTGATGCAAAATATTGCTTCAGGATTGGGTTGCATCGACACCCGAACTAATGATAGGGAGTGAAGTAGTTGAATGTGTCGATCACTTCATTTATCTCGGGAGTCTCATCAGCCCTTGTGGTCTGGTGTGTGACGAAATCTCAGAACGGATACAGAAGGCTCGACTAGCTTTTACCAACTTGCATCATTTATGGCATAGGCGAGATATCCGTCTACCAACCAAAGGACGGGTTTACTGCGCAGCAGTTCGTTCCTTCCTACTTTATGGAAGTGGAACATGGCCAGTAAGGGTAGAGGATATTCGTAGGTTACTAGTGTCCGATCATAGGTGTCTTTGAAACATTGCTCGTATATCCTGTAACCACCGAGTAAGTGACTCAGTTGTTAGGAAATGGGTACTATGTAAGGATGGTGAATCAATTGATGAAGTAGTGAAACTTCATCAGTTGAGATGGCTGGGACATATGTTACGTATGCCCAACGACCGACTGCCCCGACGTGTGATGTTTCATGGTGTAGGAGTAAGTTGGAAGACTACAGGCAAACAGACCAAAACATGGCACAAATCCATGAAATCACTGACAAGTGGACTGAGCCATGTTGATAGGTGTAGACTACCTGGTTGGGATCGACGAGACGATAGCAACCAATGGTTAGAGATCTTGAATGACATGGCTCAAAATCGTTTGCAGTGATGTGCGCAGGTGCATCCACTCTTTGTGTTCTCCTAAATTCTAATCTTCTGAATTCTTCAGGTCCTTTATTTTCTTTCCAAATTTATTTCACTGTATTGTACTCCTTGAATAACATCTTCAAACCCTCATGTTTCCGATTACTGCCTATACTTTTACTACCTCTACCACTACGGGATTTGAATTGACAGTTGTATCTTTGTGTTAATGTGATATGGCAACTCGAACTGATGTACGTACGTACGAAGTTCCACGTTGTTACTGATTGACTGACTGAGAGGTACTTGAAAAGGAAATTTGGTTAGAGTTTTTTTTTTGTGACCTGAGGGCATAAGCACACTACCCAAAGGACAACTGCTTGAGGTCGGTCACAAGACGTATTTGTGGGTACTTTTTGTGTTAACTCCGTACTTATTGAGACGTTACTGACGGATACGGATATCCGTGGGATAAGGCGAGGTGTGCATTTTTAGTGTCGATCTTTTCTAACCCCACCCTTCGTTTATGGAAAGGCCGCATCGCTGTCATGCTGGTTGTCTAAGGGAAACACTTCACTGCCGTTACAATTCTGTGCATTCAGCAGTACGACTTTACCCTCGGACCTTGAGTTTACTGCTTTTAGTCTTACCGTTCTTCAACCGACCTATCTGACATGGTAGGACCTTGAGGAACGATCGTTCCAGCCAGTATAGCCCGATTGGTCTATCACGATAGGCAAGCTCGGCTACCACGGCAAGGCAGCAGCAACGGCGGGTTAAAGTGATATGCACTCCAGAAAAACGCCGAAATGCCCTGTTAACTGAACGTTAATTTGGTTGGTTGATGAAGTACCTTGTTAACTAAATGCAATACTTATTATTACTAGTTAGAACATAAATAATAAATAATCCGTTCAGTCAGTTGGGTATATCTTAATAAGCATCCGTCAAGTAATTATATAAATTACCTCATCAACCAACCTAATCAATGTTTAGTTAACAAGAGCATTCGATGTTTTTCTTTAGTACACATCACTTTATGTTATTACTCAGGTACTTAGTTATGACTTCTCAAGTGCAGACTGACTTCGTTATCCTAGGATGCTCAATCCTACAAACAAGTCATACATGATTTCTTATAGGTAACAAATTCTAGACGTAATATATTTCAAATCAATATTTTTTCCGGAAAGCAATTAAATCTTAATACCGTTCTTGTTTCTAATCATCTTATGACATCATCCTTGTCTTAATCTCATGTTTTTCAGGTAACTTCGTATAATTTATCTAGTGGCAAACGAATTCGAGGAGTGTTAGTTGTCCTTTCGTATATGGTGTTCAGCAATAAAAATGAAAACTCTAGGAAAAACTTGTCGTGTGCATATCTTATTGGTTGGTGTGTCGAATTGGTAAATATTTTAGTTTCCTCAATTGACTTTTTTGAAGTTAATTGCCCTTATATCCTGATATTAGTAAAAAACATCCGTGAAAATCACGGTCATATTGTTAATCCACGTACCAATAGAGTTACGTATTATGTACGTTTCCCCACAAGATTGAACTCAATGCTTTTAAATTCATTGGTAAGATTATTGATTTTTGGACTAGTAAGGTATATTCCAGTGACCGAGGCTCTCAACCACCGTGATGTTATCCTAGTATTATCAGCCTTTTAACTCGGATTTCGTTCTCAAGTTGGAGGTTGATTAGTTTCAGGTGATCCATTTAAATTAGAATTTATTTCTATTCATATCACATATATCTTCTGGTACAGCATGCCACTAAAAAAGAACCACACGAACTGGATTAAGAAGTTTGGACTTCTGGGGAAACGAACATGGTATTCTGCAGCCTCAGTAGCACTTATTTCTTCGTAAGATAAGTCGTCGTGTCGCAGATTGATTATTTACTTAATGACAACTATCGAAATCAGACTATGGGTCATAAGTTAATAATGAAGATGATAGATGTCCGAAAGCCCTATATGTAGCTATTAAAATGGAAACGTATGCATACTGACAACCATTCTCAGAAGTTGACAAGACGCTGGTCAGTGTACCCCATTTCTAAGCAGTAGTATGTTTTACGTGAGTCTATAATCGCGTTAAAATTGACTGTTTTCTATCCAATGACTTAAAGTTTCTTGTTTTGTCTGTGCCCTAGTTACACGCAGGATTCCTTGTTTTGGATGATATAATTGACAATTCTACACTTAGACGGGGCCAACCGTGTTGGCATTGTACTCAGATAGATTTAAACCGTGGGTTAATTGGAGTTAATGATGGTTTACATCTGATTTTATCATCGAAATACTTGATCCACTCTTTATTTGCTGAAAATCAAAGTAATGTTGATTCATATTCATGGAAGGACAAAAATAACGTATATCTCAAATTATGCAAATTGTTTGATGAAATTAGTTACAAAACGTGTTCTGGCCAATGCTTGGATGTGCTATCAGCAAATCCTAATAATCAATGTATTTTGAACGGAAAACAAAATAATTTGGAGTTTGATAGTTTTGCTCGAAACTACTCATCAGATGTCTTTGAAGCTATAACACACTGGAAGACGGGTTTTTATACTTTTTATCTACCTGTAGCGTGTGGAATGATTTTGGTAAGTTAACTTAATTATTTCCGTTTGATTTATTATCTTCTCTTATTTATTGAGGATTTTAAACTGCAAAATGTACATTTTTACTTCGTACATCAATTGTTAGACTGAATAACTTTCGTAATAAAAACATTTGTGTAATATACTTTATATAAAGATCAAAGTTTTTAAAATTTGTTTTAGTTCTAACAAAGTCATTGTTTGTAATCACCAATGTTATCAAGCCTTCATACTTATGAAAACTGAATGCATTTAAGCCAATATTATTGATTTTAAGCCATATCACTTAAATTTCCCATTTATTCAACTCAACTTACCAACCACAGGTTTTTGTCCTTCGTTCCGAGTCCCATTCTACGTCTGAAGACTAGTAAAGCTGCCTAGCTGCTCTAACTGAAATATATAGAGTGGCGTTCAAACCTGCAATCTAGCGGCTGAGAGTCAGAAGCTTTAACCACTGAACTACGCCTTTTTACGTTATTAGCATATAAGGACCTGTGATCCCATATCATTAATGGTCATTATATTACTGCTATTAACAAGTCCCATAACTTATTAGAACCTTCATAGTAGATTACCTACATACTGAGCAGCTGAGATCCTCATTCTTCTCAACAGAAGAAAGGATTTCAGTATTATTTCATAAATGCTGCCTTCAAAATTTTATATATTTTCATTCATTATTCAAGTTGAATAAACCGATTAAAAACGGTGGTTATACTTCTTGTTTTTCATCTTGTTTGTTAACATCAAAGAAGTAATAGCATTCTGTTTAATATACAGTTTTCTTTGAAATTTTTTTCTCAAAAATAGGCTGAAGTTGATGATACAGATGATATTTTCAAAAATGTTCAATACATCCTCCTTAAATTGGGTAACTACTTTCAAGCCCAGGTAACTAAAATACTTTAAAGTCATTTCACAATAGGATGACTATTTAGATTGTTTTGGTGACAGTGAAATTACTGGAAAAGTTGGGACTGATATAGCAGAAGGCAAATGTACATGGCTAATTGTTGAAGCGTTAAAATACCTTTCACCTGAACAATATAAAATACTTAAAGTAAAAGGAATTTTCTTTCATTTTAAAATTATCTTATCGTCGAAATAAATTGAGTTTGTATTTTTTGGATTGTTACATCCCACCATTATCTCTTTTTTATTGTATGATGGTAGATATGTTTCTTATTGTGGATTACTTCATATATTATATGTTGGTTATACACCTTCAGCTACGTTTTATCACGAGGTATTAATCATCAAAGTATAAGACACCCGACTGTGTAATAATATAAAGTCGGTTATAAATATTGAATAAGATATCCTAAGTACCTTGTGACTATTGTTATTTTATAATATATTTATCAAGTCAACTACGGAATTGAGCTGCTGCTTATTAAGTTAATATAACTTTTACGAAATTTACTTTTGAATGCCTTCAATCTACCATAACACCTATCCATCAAAAGAAAAATGGTGAACGTCTGGTTAGTCAGTTAACATGTAGAAGTACGCTTGTAAAGATAAATGACGATGACAAATGGTTTGCTTTCATTTAAGCTTGAAGGTGTCACTTTACAAATCAACCCTAATGGGAAGTTGTTATTGAGTATGAATAGACTTCCAATAATTACTAATAGATTACTACTTACCATAATTTTACATTTATCGTTTTTCCACCGTATCACTACTTTGTGCCCATAATAGGGTTATTGATATTTTCGGTGTTTTGTCTTCCTGTTTTCAGTGTTATGTCTATACACAGTAGCTGCATATTTAATAAATCTCGATGAGTCTAAACTTGGGAAACTTGAGGTTAAGTAAAAGAATACGATGTCTTTATTCATTATTAACGTTAATTAGTACTGGAAGTGTTCACGTTTATTACCAAGTCATTGAACATCCAGTGGTTTCTTCATAACTTTGTTTACGGTCGCCTTGTCAGAACGCGAGATGTGCCCTCATATTATATTTGAATATGGTTCACTTTGACGCACCAAACTGGTCTTTCCTTGTGAATTTATGACAATTTATTTCCTAGCTGTGTTTGCGTCTGTCTGTTACCCATATTCCTCACACCCGTTTCTAAAAGCAAATCCCTATGATCTATCGATAACTACAGTGATCATTATTTTGCGTATTGGTCCATGTCAGTACAAAACACTTACGTATATCCTAAAATAGTCATAATTTTGTTGACATCGATATATGCATAATGAGATTGCGACTGCTGTTCCCAAGACATATTCTATGAGTATATGATATTTGGTCAATGTCTAGTTTTGTTCCAACTGTTTCTCTTATTCGTTCCTACTTTGATGGATAGCATTTTATTAGTTTCTTTTTTAAATTTACTTCTGAACTGGCTGATGCTTTATCAAAATCATATGAAATTATACTGCTTACCTACACTTAGTCCATCCAAAATTGTTGTGTACCGCTTGCAAGTTTTAATTAAAATTTTACGGTAACTATCTTAGTTAGTCAAGTAACTTTATTTACACCATTTTCAAAATTTTGGTCTTTCCTGTGATTCATGTGTCAGGTTGTATTTTGTAGCTTTTTACGTTCTTAAACACTTCCATTTCTTAGTTATTCCCGCACAGGTCACACGGAATCTTCGTTTTGTCATACCCTAGTTCGAATACTTTTAATGTGTAGATAAAACTACAATCTTCAAACATTCAAATGAAGTCCTTTAGTAAATTTAAGGAACTGTAATCGAAAATCTTTTTATGCTATGTGGTCTATTATTGAATATTGTAAATTTACCATATTTTATTCCATTCCTATGTTCTTCGTCCATATTCATGAACCAATATACTTCTAATTTAACCAATCACCTTATGTTATTGAATACCTGGATTGTACGTTTTCAGTCTTTCATGATGTTAATGCCTGTACATGAACAAAAAACAACTATCCATCACTAATTTTTGAATGAAAATGATAAGAATCTAGTCATCACTCCGTTCATCTTGGTATTCGTATACTTTTATACTGGTACGAATAGTGGAAAAGTTGTAAATGTTGGAACCAGTTTTCCAATCATTACTTATATTTTTATTGTTGCATTTGTATATTCCCCTTATTGTGATCTCCCAGTAGACCTAGTAACGATTGTTTTGAATCCTCCCGTTTCTCAATTATTATCAATTAATTATGCATTATTAACCTTGCTCTCTGCCATTTACGGCATGATTGTGCTTAAAATATAATCTCTTATTTTTTGTGCTGTATGGTCAGGCATTTCAAGTATATTATTAAGTGAGTTTTGAGTGATAATTGAATTGAGCACAATAGATAATAAATCTACTTTCTATACGCGTCTCCTAATTGGCTACTGGGTTAGATGGAGCTCGACGGTCAATAAGCATTGAGGTCTTGGGTGTTGTTCATTAGTCAGTGTGTCTTGGTAATTATTAAGTCACCGGTCCTATTGGGAATATGGGTGAACTAATCTGTAATCGGAATTTTGATTGGGCAGTATAACACATATGATCGATTCGCGTATCGATTCATAATATATGCCACCAGTTATTCAGTTGTCAAGATTTAGTCAAATGCTTGGGTTTTGACGTATACAAGTAGTATTGTCAAATCATAGATGAAATGTTGGTGTTGTGTTGTGTGATGCGGCAAATAAGCAACGTTTATCATTGCTTAGACCATTATTTTTATTTTATTTTATTAAATTTACATGGCAGAACTGAATTTATTTTGCTTTACTGACTGTCAAAATTGTGTATTTAATCATCTTATATACATGTTTCTAACTGTAGACAAATTATGGTAAACCCGATCTTAAGTCGCAACAGACTGTTCGCAATCTCTATGGTGCGATCAAATTACCAGAGAAGTATTACTTGTACGAAGAACAAACTAAATCAGAGATTATGAATAACATTCAGAAGTTTATGTACCGTGATCACTTTTCTTTTGATCCTAGGGATTTGTTTACTTTTCTTGTCGAATTACTTTTTCAACGTGTTTGTTAAAGTGTCATGAAAATATTTCATATTTTTCCCATACTGTTTCGCCAATTTTCTTTACTTACGTCTTTTCTATCTCAGTTCTCTTCTTCCATTTCTTCTTAGTTCTACAATTCAGTCTTTACTTTTATCGTTATGACAATTTTATTTAAAGAATTCCCCTTCTTACATAATTATGGTGCATTTAAGTCTTCGTCAACATAATTTTGTCTAAAATATTTGTTTGTTTTCTTAAAATACTGACTTTAACAGCTTAGTATTATATATAATTATATTTCCGAATTTATTTATGTATTTGAACACGTAAATATTGCTACAAAAGGGTACCGAATACATATGCGCCACACAATTCCCTTGATTTGTATGTGGGTTGTGATACTGCCTGGGTACCCAGGTGGTATTTTAGGGTGCCACATCCGGAGCCTTCGACCTAAAGGTTTGATCCACAAGGCAGTGGATCAACGTTAGGAGATGCCATCCCATGGTAGCCAGTGACCAACAACAGGTTCATATGCCATTTGTTCCTTCAGGATCCTGGAGCCCATGTGCACTATTGGTTTGGGATCAAGGTTTTCCAACTCCCCTAAGTGGATCATCCGTAATCATCAACATGGTTAAAGTGCTGGACATTCGCTTTTCGTCCTCTCAATTTCATAAGACTTCCCTGGAAGAGACTATGCACATATCTGTGGTGGTCGGTATTTGATATAATCCTTAAACTTCGTATACTGTTCGTCGCGATAACCTTTCTATATAACGTACCAACGGTATATTAATCAGAAGGCAAATACGAAGTGTCGATTACGTTTATTGCGAAACCACACACATATATCCAAATGTACAGATGTGTTAAACAAGCATAGGAGAGTTGTGCCGAAAGGCAAGCAAGCGAACGAGAGCCAGAGCAAGAGCGTGACGAGACCGTGCGAGCGAGTGAGCGATTGTGTGTTCAATATGAATAACATGGACATATATATACCATGTGAAATGAATGAGTAATCGAATCGAATAAGCGGTTAGTGGTAAGATTAGCAGAGTGAATAAATGCGTAGGCAGTAATCAATATTCAAGCATACGTATTTCATACAAGCTCAAAATAATAATAAGGATACAATAAATTGTTATAGCGCGGATGGCTTTGTCCGCTAAATAAGTTAACAAAAAGGGCTTAACTGGGTTAAATGAGAGTAATCCCATTTGCACGTGAGTCGCTATAATAGCTCCCCCCTGCAAACAAAGATATATGGAAAATGTCTGTGTTTGCATAAAAAAAATAGTAGACTGAATAGGGTAGAAAAAATGGCTTATACAAAATTAAGGTGAAGTTATTGTGTGCTGTACATTTGATTTGCGCCCGTCCGTGAGGTTACATAAAATAATAGCAAGAAATAAAAGGAAAGCGGTATTGTCTTTACATTTTAAACAAAAATTATACGCATAAGTGTAAGGGTACATAAGATACGTTGAGTTTTATAGCGCATAACATGAGCTGAATAATGCATGTGTATACAATGAGGTAGAAGTTATAATTAATATTCCAAATAGTAGATTATTATTAATAGAAAATTGTAGCGACATGATGTTGGGGCCATCTTACTCTGCGGCCGGATCTTGTTGTTATCAGAGTCTTGTCTTTTTGTTGCTTTAACGTTGTTGATTTTTGGGACTCGTGTTTCGCTGGTATGACCATCTTAGATGAGTCTGTACTTGTTGATTGATTATCGCTATCGATGAAAGCTGGCTTTACTCGATCGATGCTAATGACATCTGTCTTCCCAGCTTTTTCTATGGTAACCGTTTTATTTGTCCTCTCTATAACTTTAAATGGGCCGTCGTAACTCGGTTGAAGAGGTGGCTGTATTTTATCTCTTCTGATGAATACGTGAGAGCTGTTATGTAGTTCCTGTGGTATGAATACCCGTCGTTGTTGTGGTCTGGGAGGTGTTATTTTTAAATCGCTCATGTGCTTTCTCAGGCGTTGCACGTAGCCGGTTACATCAGTCGGGACATTTTTACTTGAAGTGAAGAATTCTCCGGGTAATCGTGGAGTAGTTCCGTAAACTAACTCGGCTGGACAACACCCCATGTCTTGTTTAATTGTTGCTCTTAGGGCTAACATTACTAGGGGAAGTTTATTAGACCAATCGTTGTTAACGATGACGGCTGTAAGGGACGCTTTTAATTGCCTATGTAGGCGTTCAACCATTCCGTTTGCCATTGGATGGTACGACGTCGTTCGGATTCGTTTAATACCGAGGAGTTCAGTAAGCTGCTGAAAGAGTCGACTTTCGAATTGTGCTCCTCTATCCGTTGTGATAATCGTTGGTACACCGTAGTAAGAAATCCAATTTTCAACTAGGGTTTTAGCTACCGTTTCAGCTGAGGTGTCTTTTATCGGCACTGCTACCGGCCATCGTGTAAACCTATCGATGCATGTAAAGATATAGTTGTATCCATTTGAAACGGGCAGTGGTCCTACAATATCGATGTGTATATGTTCAAATCTAGTGTCTGGGTGCGAAAACGGACCTACTGCAGAGCTAGTATGACGATGTACCTTCACTTTTTGGCACTTCATGCATGCTTGTGTCCAATTACGTACATCGTGATTCATGTTTGTCCATACGAATCGTTCACTAATCAGCTTTATCGTGGCTTTTATTCCTGGGTGCGACATGTTGTGCATGCTTTCGAATATTTTGTGTCGCAACGTTTTTGGGATAAATGGTCGCGGTCGGCCTGTTGATGTATCGCAAATTACTTTCATGTTACCAAACCGCACCTCTTCGAGTACTAATGATGTTGAACCACCGGATCTGAGTTTATTTAGCTCGATGTCTCTCTCCTGTAACTTTGCTAGACCGTTATAATCGATTCCACTTGCCATAAGTGTGCTTATCGTTGCTCGTGACAATGCGTCAGCCACATCGTTTTCTTGTCCTTTAACGTACTGTATGTCGGACGTGAACTGTGAAATGAACTCTAGTTGTCGGATCTCTCTCGAGGAATAATTGTCTTGCTTTGCGCTTAATGCTTTCGTTAGCGGTTTGTGGTCTGTATAGACGGTAAAACTTATGCCTTCGACCATATGACGGAAGTGTTTTATTGCTAAGTAGATTGCTAACAATTCTCTTCCAAACGTACTATATCTCGTTTGGGTAGGATTTAATCTTTTCGAGAAAAATGAAAGTGGCTCCCATGCACCGTTTACAAACTGCTGCAAAACGGCTCCTACTGCTAAGTTCGATGCGTCTGTCATTACTGCTAATGGCGCTTCGTTCTTTCGTCGTACCAACATCATCTTCTCGTTTAGCGCTCGCTTAGCGTTCTCGAAAGCCTGTATAGCATCCGCTGAAAGACGGAATGTTCGAGTATGTCCTCGTAAGGCGTCCGTCAATGGCTGTACTATTGCTGCGCAGTTTGGGATAAATCGTCTATAATAGTTTATTAGCCCCAAGAATCTTCGTAATTTTCTTTGTGAATCGGGCAACGGATAATTACGAATAGCAGCAACTTCTGTCGGAACTGGCATGATACCATGTGAATTTATCATATGACCTAGGAATTGCAATGATTCCTTTCCAAATTCACACTTTTCCACGTTAATAGTGACGCCATGTTCTTGAAGTCTTGTAAACAACTGTCGTAGATGTTGTAGATGTTCTTCTCTGGTAGAGCTAGCTACTAGTATATCATCGATATATGCGTGAACTCCTGTCAATCCCCTGACGACCTGATCGATGAATCTTTGGAAGGTTTGGGCTGCATTAGTTAATCCGAAGGGCATTCGCAAAAACTCGAACAACCCAAATGGAGTAGTTGTAGCCGTTTTAGATATATCTTCTGCCGCTACGGGAATATGGTAATAAGCTCGGACGAGATCGATTTTCGAAAATATCGTGGCACCTTCCATATTGGTAGTAATATCGTGGATATGTGGTATCGGATATCTGTCTGCTATCGTTTGCTTGTTAAGGGCTCTATAGTCTCCGCATGGCCTGATTTCCCCATTCTTCTTCGAAACCATATGCAATGGGGACGCCCAGGGACTATTAGAAGGTCTTATGATACCAAGCTTCGTCAACTTTTCGAACTCTCGTTTCGCGACATTCAAACTTTTCGGGTCTAGCCTTCGTGGTCTTGATTTAGTCGGTGGACCTTTCGTTATAATATGGTGCTGTACCGTATGTTTAAGATCTCTGTTATCGTATGATACCTTCGTCAGATCGGCATACTCGTTTAGAAGCGATCTATATGGCTCGTTTTTGTCTTTTGACACTACTAAATTCATGGATGCGTGATCAGTCGTCACTCCTCTTATCACTACTGAATGGTCGCCGTTCACGAGCTGGTTTCGTCGGGTATCCACTAGTAAGTCAAAATTCTTTAAGAAATCAATACCGATTATAGGTACGGATACATCTGCGATAATGAATTCCCAGCGGAATGAGGTAGTACGACCGAAATTCAAGGTTACTTTTCGCTTGCCATATGTTTTTATATCGGATTTATTTGCTGCCTTAAGCGTTAGCGCTGTATCGATATTTCGTGTTTCGTTACTTACTGGAGGCACGACGCTTACTTCTGCTCCCGTATCCACTAAGAATTGAGCGCCTGTTACTCTATCCTGAACGTAAAATAAACGACTGTTTCTAGGAGCTGTTGTAGTTGTTGCGGCGGTTATCGACAATCGGTGTGTTCGTTTGAATTTACATGGTGATCTACAGTTTCGAGCTTTATCGCCGAAAGTTTGGTGGTACCAACATATTGTCGGAGCTGCGCGTCTCCTAGAACGTGATCGACTTCTTTCCCTTGATCTACTTCGTGACCATCTTCTTTGCGTATCGCTCTGATTTAGTTTCATCAGCTTGTGGCATAAAACATTAATCTCCTTTTGTAATGCATCGATTCGTCCATCTATTGTGGTACTATGCCCTTGCGGACTCGTTTGTTTCATTCTTTCATAAATCCTATCGGCTATTTTAGCAATGTTGTCTATATCGACATCGCTGTCCTCAACCGCAAGGATCTGCTGCACGTTCGCTGGGAGTCGTCGTAACCACAACTGATAAAATATGTTTTTATCTACTTTTCTGTCTCCGATTACGCTTCTCATATAGTTTTTTAACTGCGATGGAGTCCTATCTCCTATCTGCACTTGACTGAGAAGCTGTTCGATGGCTTGCCGGTCGCTTAATGAGACGGCTTTAATCACTGCCTGTTTTAATGCGTCGTATGGCTTTTCTATGTCTGGCTTGATTAAAATCTCTCGTACATTATCTGCT